GTACATGAAAATCTAATGAATTTTAATAAAGCCAAGTGCACTTGGGTTGAGGCAACACCAGATATGAGAACAGACCAAGAGGAAAAAGTCATTGACAGGAGCCCTGTGGAGAAAGACTTGGAGGTCCTAATGGATGAAAAGCTGGACACGAGCCAGCAGCATACAACTGCAACCCAGAAGGACAACAGGCTAGGATTCAACAAAAAAGGGATGGTGGCAGGGAGAGAGGGAGGTGACTGTTCCCTCTGCTCTACCCTTGTGAGGCCCCATCTGGAGTACCGTGTCCAAGCTTGGGGCCTCCAGTATAGGAGAAATGTTGTATTGGGTCCAGAGGAGGACCACAAAGATGATCAAAGGGCTGGAGCATCTCTCCTATAAAGACAGGTTGAGGGAGTTGGGCTTGTTTAGCTTGGAGAAGAGAAGGCTCTGAGGAGACTTCATTGTGGCCTTCCATACTGGAAGGGAGCTTGCAGGCAGAAGAGGGATTGACTTTTTACATGGTCTGATAGTGACAGGACAGGAAAGAATGGCTTTAAACTAAAAAATGGGAGATCTGGGTTAGATGTTAGGAAATAAATTTTTACTTGGAGGCTGGTGAGGCACTGGAACAGGTTGCCCAGTGAAGCTGTGGGTGCCCCATCCTGGAGGCAATGAAGACTAGGCTGGATGGGAGCCTGGGCAGCCTGGTGCAGTGGCTGGCAGCCCTCCTATGGCTGGGGGATTGGAACTAGAGGATCTTTGAGGTCTTTTTTTCTCCTGTGTTTCACTAAACTCTCCAATTTAAATGTATACAAGTTCTTTTCTTTCAAACAGAAAACGTGGGGTCGAGAGGAGTATATAAAATGGAATTAAATTTTAAGACTCCCAAACCAAAATAACCAAAATACAATAGTAGCTTTGTAGCTCATTTTAACTAAAGCTTTCTGAAAGTGCCACAGTAGTAAGGGGTAGCAATAACAAATTTCATATTATTAAGGCAAGAACAGCAAAGTAATAAGAGGACAGCCACACATGGGACTGCCAGGCCCAGCAGTGCTACATGAGTTGTCCCAGACAACAAGACCAGAGCTCTGATCCCGCAGTGTATTTGCTGTTATCGTCAGGATAAGGTTAGCTCAGCATTTGATCCCATTTCCATTCAATTAAGACTTTCTTTAGTTCATATCCATATGGTATGATCACATTACTATTGGAACATAACCATTTGAATAATTACAAAAGCAATAGTGGTGGATGGAAACATGAGGGGTTGGGCTTAATGCAAAAGCAGCAGCACAAGAGAAAGGCAGCACAGGAAGCTCATGCTGGAGATCTGAGGAATGTACTGCTCATCCCAGGCTGGGTAAAGCCAGGACACCTATGCCTCTGTATCCACAATGGCATCTGTGTTAATGTGTAATTCGTATATTCCCCATTCTAATCCGTAAATTACCGTTAGATGGTAACGGCTTGAAAACAATTAATTCCTTTAGCTTCAATGAATTATTCACTTCATGTTAATAATTCATGTATTTAACATTAAGAAAGGAAAAATCAGTGAGCTCCGAACCTAACACAACCCAGAAGCTGAAACAGTTTAGCTTCTTAAATATAAAAATGTGGTCTTTCACCTTATATAAATAAATATATACTGCAGCTGAACAACAGTCTCAGAAATTCTGGGTCATTGATGTGCTTTAATATTCTCAAGTAGACCGTTTGGAAAGAAAAGGGAAATCTTGGAAACAGGAAGGAGGAAAGAGAAAACTGCTTCATCCTACAGACTTTAAAGAAACGCTCTTCACGCTGACTTGAACAAATACTCACTAGCAGACCAACCATCTGTAAGCCGGTAGGAAAACAGGCAGAGATGGCATAGATCATCTGTGCTCTCTCAGAGACGTATCAACATTTTAAAATGGAAAAAAGCCCTCCAACTTCATGTCCCAGACAGGGGATACCACATCTTTCACCTCACAATATTAAGTCTCTTCCCAGATCCTCTGTTAATAGGATTCCTTTAGCCAGCAGATGGATTGTGAATACAGGCAGTTTCATCTACTAAAAGACAACATAAATCATCACTGAGAAAGGAGAGCCTGCAGTAAGGTTATCACCATACAGCCTTCTCCATGAAAGGTTTGCATTAAAGCATTAGTGAAATTAATTCATCTTTCATAAGAGCTTTGAGCAGTATCTGTGATCTATGATAACAACCAATTTCTCACTATGGGAAAAAAAAATTACTCAGGCCTGATAGACTACACAAATCTGCTTTTTTTAAAATGGCCTAACATTATCTGGAGTGTTGCTCCCAAAGGCATCATTTGAGTCTCGTGCCTAGCCAAGAGGACCCATAAATCAGGACAGAAAGTTTTGTTAGTTTTATAGGCAGTGGGCCGTAATTATTTTGAATTGCATTATGCCTCAATCATTGTAATTACTTTTAGATCATCCTTAAGCGGCAGTAATAAAGAGAAAAGAAATCAGTCTTAAACCATTTCTCACACAAAAACATTGTAAATGCAGTATGAGCAGTCTGGCTAAAACATACAGGAGCATGTAGATGTGAGACGCGCGCGCGCATTCTGACGCTTCAACTCCTATTTTCAAAGACGCACTGTTTTCTGGTCTTTTTTAATTAGTAGCACCACTAGCGGCATTTACCTCCAGTAACAGGTAATCACAGGGTTTAATTTTACTTTTGAAAATATCATACAATGTGTGCAGGAGAAGCAAAACCACGTCAGCTGTTTGTCCACTATTGCTGCGCTATGACTGCTTGAGACACTCCCTGCTCTTCCATACAAAAAGAAAACCACCAGCCTAATGTAAAAACCACCACAGTTTTCTCATCTTTCAAGTCAAACAAAAACTATGCTGGCTTGAACGAGCACAGAAAGCCACCGAACTGCAAATATCAGCACCTCTCCTGTCTGCATGACTGCAGTTTGGGGAGCCCTTGGCACTTTCCCATTGTGTGAAGTTCTGAAATAAAATAGATGAAGGCCCGCGCTGCTCCATGAGCGCAGCAGCACTGCACGAGGCACTGCGCAGAGCAGAGCAGGCACTGCAGGGAAACGCTGATGTATCCGTGAGGAGTGACCGCGGTTTGACAACGACGGCAGCCAGGCATTGTGCAGCTGCTCCTCACTGCTCTGCAGGGTAGGGAAGAAAATCAGGTGGTGGAAGAAGGGTTTGAGGTACCAGTGCACTGAAAGCTAATAGCAAAGGCTGTGTGGAAGTAAAGGTGAAGACAGTGGTTCCCCTTGCCACCGTGTTTAGCCATGCTGTGGGAAGCAGCACCTTGTTATGCAGAGTGCTGCTGGGGCAAGCAGCAGCTGTTTCAGGAGCCCTTCCCTCTCCCTACAGCTTCTGCTGCTGAGCATGATGCAAAATGAGATGGCAATGCAGTGATTAGGAACGCTTATAGTAGGAAGGCAACTCATCTCAAAATGGCATTTATTTGCTTCTTATGGTGCCACTCTTGTACCTAAAGCAGTGCTGCACCACACACAAATACAGAAGCTATTGCTCCACCAACAAACATGGGAACACCTGCTCTGAGTTGCCACAAGAAACAGATCCAGGCTCTGCTCCGCCGTGCAGATGGGAAAGCCACCATTTCCCCATGGGACTGCAAAGATTAGTTTACATGAAAGGCAGAAATAAAAACTGCTGGGTCAGTTACAGATACGCCAGTCTTAGGCGGAAGAGCAGCTGTGAAGCAACAGTGGGAATAACTCTTCACAGGTACTGAAGAACAATCCACAACTCGGCCTCTTGCTGTTAAGTGCGGCAGCGGCGCTCGTGCTGCTGCTTGATGCTCTCAGCACTACGAGGAAATCACTGCAGCGCCGCCTGCGTCCTGCTTGTGCTCTCAATCACCTGCACCGCTGCAGCTTATTGCTGACAGAGGAGCAAAAGAAGTATCTCAGTAACCGCCTGGAGTTCCCTCAAAAGACAGAACCAGCATTCCATCAGGTTGCATTCCATGCAACTATTTCTGCAACCTTATCCCAAGCACACTTGTACTACCTCAGTGTTTCTAAGTGTGGATATGTACAAATTCTAAACTAATTCTTAAAGTCTATTTAGTTCTTTCTAATACTAAAGAGGCAGTGTACAAGCTAGATCCACAGCTGTTACAGGAATTCAACAAACATATTCACCCAGTTTGTAGTCAACAACAACCATTAAGCACAGCCATGTCCTAGATGTTCTCACAGAATTAAGAACGAACAAATTGAAGTCTACTTCAAAGAAAGGAACTGCAGACAAGGACAACAGCTGCACGTGGAATTGCACCTGCAAGCGCAATGGAAGAAAGCTGGCAGCTTATCTTCTGAGTTTGAAAGAACCTCCAGCTCACAGATCACAGAATCACAGAATCACCCGGGTTGGAAGGGACCTCAAGGATCATGTAGTTCCAACCCCCCTGCCTAGCAGGGCCACCAAACACACACATTCAGATCAGGTTGCCCAGGACCCCGTCCAACCTGGCCTTGAACACGTCCAAGGACGGAGCATCCACAACCTCCTTGGGCAGCCCGTTCCAGGGCCTAACCACTCTCCTTGTAAAGAAACAGCTCAGACACACAGCACCCCCCAGCTGTTAGGAGAACAACAAGAGAAGGGAATGCCAGGGCAGCATGAGAGGAACACACAAATACCTGAAAATTTCACGTATTCTTGTGCTGGTAAGAAACTATCCCCACACACTTGCAGTGACTGGAGAGTATCTAGCAAGGCTGAAGAGAAACCAGCAGCACTGCAGCCACAATTACAGAGCTGAATACAAATGGGATCCATTCAGAGCCACGTCTCACCCTGTCAGGGATTAAGTCTCCCTGAAACAGATTTGCAATTGGCACAGTTTGCTGTTTCTTTGGTTCTAAATGTACAAACAAGACTTTTCATCACTGTCTCCATCCTTCACAAGCACTTCCTACTACACAAAGAACTCCATTTGAACTCCAAATTCACACAATGACTGTAAATACGTTATAGATTGTACGTACCTCAGGGAAATAATCCTGTGGAAACTTCTCCTTTTCCAGCATGGGTGTGCTTTCTAAAGTGTCTGAGTAGATTTCTTTCCCAGTAACCTTCTTATACTTCTTAGCTAGGAGAAGATACAAAGCAAACTTAACATCCATATCTTACAGTACCTATTGGAAGAGCAGTGGCATCTATGTAAAGGTAGGATTTTAGCAAGCATAAACACTGAGTTTTTCTTAGGAAAAACACACCTGGCTGCTTGTAGCTGGCATTCTCAAGCTACACAGGCAGTGGCACTATTACTTTTACAATTCAGAGCACTGTACAGTGTTGGAGATCAGGTCTCCATGTACTCTAGCACTCCGACTTCCTGACATGGCTCTTCCAAGAGATGTACATTGACATCCCAGGATACCATCCAACCATTTACACTGGATAATTAAGAGGAAAAACAATAGAATACATATTAAGGTGGGAAACACAAATTCTGTTATGAGTAATGACTATTTGCTTGGTTTATCTAGCAACTCTCTTCAGATTTTAAGACCACCTAGCCAAATACCTGATGATTCTAACACATTAGTAATCACAACTTCTATGCAGCAAATCACTATGCAGTCATTCAGAATATCTTTGCTTTAAATCAACAACATTGACAGTCTTCCTCCACTGTATTGTGTGGCCACACCTAAACCTTCTGCTGGGTTGGCTGTGGCAGTGGAGCGAACCCAGCAGTGCCTGCGGGCTGCTAACAGGACACGAGCTGCCCATGGGCTGATCTGAGATGGATTTGTTAAAAAAAGTAAAATAAAAGATACTGGTTCTACTGGGTATCTGGTGAGAATAACATTTAACACAAAAACTTGTCCCTTTAAGCTGTCTAAATAAAGTAGTTGATATAATCAGAGGAAACATTAATTGTAATCTATGAATTTATCTTCAGGGGAAAGAAAATCAAGCATTGTTCATTATGTGACAGTCACTTTGAGATCTGGCTCCACTAGGAAGACCAAACAAATATCCCAATAAACTAATGTGCCACCATTCTAAGTAGATCACGGACAGATGTACCTCTGTGAGAAAGTTTAACATTACCAGCAAAAAGATCCTGGTGTCATTCAGGACACAGAGCACATTAGGCAGAACTGTAAGGACTGAAGATTTTTGCTGGGAGTACCTAAACAAAAGGTAGCACTTGGCAGAAAGGAGGCATTTTACCATCAACTTATATTAACATCAGTGCTAACTATGAACCAGGAATTCATTTACACGACTGCTGACAAACCAATCCAGCAGGAAAGAAGCATGCCTTCTCATGTACCTCCAAATAAAAACACTCCAGAGTAAACTAGATCTGTTCTGATAACCAAAGTTGTAGCACTGCTCTGTGGACAAGAGGCAGATCAAAATCACCCCAACACCCCAGCCAGCAAAACCCTCTGCCGGACGACAGTTCTTCTGGATGATGGCTCTTCAGAGCAAGCATCTTTTCAGTAGTTAAACTGTAAGTAACTTTTGAGGTGTCTGACAACTGTAGAAACAGCTCAACACCTCCTGTGCTGTAGCCATAATGCATGAGGACCATAGGAAAAAATTCTCACTTTAGAACTCAAGTATCTCTTCTTAAAAACTCAACACCAGAAGCAATCTTCTCTTCCATAGACTGTACTCAGTCACATTCAGCTATGAAGTGAATTCTGAAAACATGCGGTAACGCTACAGGAAAATCAAATTATATATGAACACAGATTTTCTGCCAGCTTTTGAGTAGAACTGGAACTTCATAACGATTTTGGCCCAGAGAATGTATCCATTTGGATTTTACCTCTGATTTAGGACCTTACTGCACCGTGAAAATCTCAACAGTCATGAGAGATACATCCTAATGGAATCCTTCAGGGTGACATTTTACCAACACTACACTGGGAGACTGATTCTGCCCCACATCAGGGATCAGCACGCGACTTCCAACATTACTTCAGTGCAGCACGGCCTTCCTTAGATTCTTTTTAAGAGTTTTTCTTTCCAAGTTACAATTGGGCCCAAACGCATCTTTTTATGCATGGCTCACACCTCACCAGGCTTTGCTAAAGAGTAATTATACATTTTGATGAGCAGAATGAAACACCTAACATTAAAAATGTTTATTTCCTGAAACAAGTACTTGTTTATTTCTCATATACTGATTACTTTTCCCTACAGTTTCGTCTCCATGTTTCTCATTTTTTAATTCTTAAACTTTCTTTTAAAAAGTCTACAGTAGCAAATAAGCTGTTGAATAATAACGAATGGAGCCGGAAAGCATTTCCTCTCCTTACACAACTGTCATTTCGCTCTGCCAGATGTCACTAAAGCGACACAGCCGCCTATGACACAGCTATCTATGGCCAGTAGGAGGGAGTTTTAGTTTCAGAGAGAAACTGTGACTTCTCCAGCACTGCTATGATGCAACTGTAGCGGTACCTATAAGGAAGTGGGTGTGCAGACACAGCTCACACATTATGATACACAAAGCTATTCAGGTGCCAAAATGAATTAACAGTTAGAATGTTGCCATCGTAAATAAAAACCATGGAACCTACTGATTCCTTTGCTTCACAAGCACAGTGGATCAACAGACTGTTTAGTTCTAAGCAACATCTTAGACACCCAGCTTCATATGCAACGCCAATTTCCTTCAGTATTTCAACTCTGCACAGTTTACCCACTAACGACCATCTCTATCATTACCCAGGGTCTGCTAGTGGGAGAAAAGGCTAGACCCTGAGGCTGATCTCTCATTAGAAGTCCCTACAAGTGAAGTCCCTTCAAGTGCCGGGTCCTGCACTTTGGGCACAACAACCCCATGCAGCATTATAGGCTTGGGGATGAGTGACTGGATGAGTGTGAAGAAGAGAAGGACCTGGGGGTGTTGGTTGATGCTCGGCTGAACACGAGCCAGCAGTGTGCCCAGGTGGCCAAGAGGGCCAACGGCATCCTGGCCTGCATTAGAAACAGTGTGGCCAGCAGGAGCAGGGAGGTGAGCATCCCCTGTACTCAGCACTGGTGAGGCTGCACCTCGAGTGCTGTGTTCAGTTTTGGGCCCCTCACTACAGGAAAGATGTTGAGGTTCTGGAGCGTGTGCAGAGAAGGGCAACGAAACTGGTGAGGGGTCTGGAGCACAAACCTTATGAGGAGCGGCTGAGGGAGCTGGGATTGTTCAGTGTGGAGAAGAGGAGGCTCAGGGGAGACCTCACTGCACTGTACAACTTCCTGAGGGGAGGCTGTGGTGAAGAGGGGTTTGGCCTCTTCTCCCAGGCAACGAGCAGCACACGGGGTAATGGCTGCAAGTTGTACCAGAGGAGGTTTAGATTAGACATAAGGAAGAACTTTTTCTCTCACAGAGAGGTCAGGCACTGCAATGGCTGCCCAGGGAGGTGGTGGAGTCGCCGTCCCTGCAGTGTTCAAGAGGCGTCTGGACGACGTGCTGCGTGCTGTGGTTCAGTGCTGGTGGTGGCAATGCTGATGAGGAGATGGTTGGACTGGATGATCTTGTAGCTCACTTCCAACCTTGTGATTCTGTGATTCTATGATTCTACATCACTGTTGAGTTCTCCACCATGCTCTCTCAGAAATAAAAGATGCTTTGAACTGTCTATAATATTAGATCTAAAATTTTCCTAAGGCACTGACATTGGCAATGACAGATGGACTTATCCTGGCTAAGTCTTTAATTGTTATATATGTGGAACTACCACTCAAATATTTCAAGAGAGAAAGATTCTGCTGCCGCAATTACACCAGCAGAGACAATTTGTCTTGACTGAGAATAAAAATAATGTATCCATATATTTAAGAAAACTAGTTCACTCTATAGTTATCAAGATTTTAGCAGTGTCTCGAGTTAATGGGATGCTAGATGTAGTATTAATGTGATTCAGCTCAAGAGGCTAAATGAAGCTCACAACATTTCTGTTCCCAACTGAAACAACATAAATTTTACAGAACCTTTGCTATATACACCTTTGGGAAGCATTCAATAATTGTCTGCAATATTTCTAATACACAATGTAACTTGGCTAACATTACTTTTAAACTTCTGAGATTTAGCAAGACTTCTAACCTGATGGATCAATGTGGGTTAGAAACAATGACACTTTCCTACCGACCCGTGCTGCTCTGAAGTAATTTGAGCCATAAATCTACCTCAGCAGCACTGCAGAATGGCCACTGCTGTTGGACATTTAAGGTCTCGGTCCTATATCTGATCTACATAGAAAACCCTGTGGTCATTCAGAATTCTTTTGAAATCATCAGGGATCTCTATGGATCCAAAGGTCCCTTTTGCAGGAGAATGATTAATGCACCGGTTTTCAACCTGCAGCCAGTCCACTGACTTCTTATAAGAGATCTATAAAAGGTAAGAAAAGGAACGCCTATCAGCAATGGACTTGTATGAATTACACAGAAATCTGCATATCACAGAAAAACTGCTAGACACTGCTTTCAGGAAAAGATGACAGCACTGCCTTCATGTATAAAGCCAGTTGACAATTAATAGCATTTAATTCCTTTGCTTACCTTTAAAATCAAACTGGTAGATGTTTTTCAAAGATTCATGAAGAAAGTAAAAACTTCCTAGAGCCTGTAAAACACAACATAGGAAAGTATAAAACATCTACTTCGGCTTACTGAAACCAAAGCAACACGCTTTCCAACAACAAAAAATAAGCATATGATAAGTAATATATATATATTTTTAGATTTCATAGCATCTATAAAAGTATTAACTTCCTCAGCTATTTCTCTGATGCTTAATGCAGAGTTATAAAGAAGACTGTTAACAGCTGACTAAGCAAGGTAAGGACAATAATCAGGCATACGTTCAGAAATGCCAAATTGATGGATGCAGTTAGTAAAACAGACAAGTGCCTTTCTAAGCACAGAACGCATTCCCACAGTTCTTTCACAACTTCTGGAGACTGCATATTGCAGGAACAAGAGTAGCGTTAAGGTATTCAATAGCCCAGAGAGCCAGCTACAGGATCTCCATCTTCAGAGTGAGGTGGGCACAGCAAATGACTGCCAACTTCAGAGCAGGCATAAAATTAAACATCTGACAAGAGCGGTGGGAATATTTATACGCGCTTATACAGCTTTCCCTGCTGGTAAGTGATGCGACAGCAACGACTGAACAGAACAGAACGTTCACCTCTGCAAGGCACGCCTGCGGTGCAAGTGCTACTATCAGTACTGGTGCAAAGCACACAGAAACAAGTTTTGTCACACAATGTACAGACCTTAAGAGAAAAATACATGAAAGTATTAGCAGAGGGTTAAGATGCTTGAATACACGCCAAGTTTCTTGAAGCTGGCCTGACTGCTGTGTTGCTAAGTGTATGCAGAAGCAGAGTTTATTGCCCACAAGAAAACAAACAATGAGAAATGAGTTACCATTGAAAATAAAATATTACACATTCATAATTTTGATTTAGGTAGGATGTATAATCATAACTCCTCCTGCTGACTGAGTCCTGAGAACTTGGCTTTCAAACAGTGACTCAATTCAAATAAGGAATTCTGTAACGGCTTTAATGAGTCATCTACGATCAATTAATGCATGCAGACAAAGAAATCATCCGTACCGTATAGACAAACTCCCATCTCAGCAAACTTATTTTAAAAGCATAATAAGCCCATCCATATTTAGCAAAATATCAGTATCCCTTCCTTACAAACACTGAACTATTTTCCACGGTTCTGAGGATTTCTGAGATCTTAAGCCTTTATTCAAGGATTATTATTACGTTCATCATCAAAGAAAGCATCCTTGTGCAGGATACAGCTTAAGCATGTCCCTTACTTCACAGGGACAAGTATCTGGGTCCCAAATAGACAAGAGCTGAAATGCTACCTCCAGAATGAAGGCAATACAGGGCGTGTTGCTCAGCCTGCAAAAACGGCACACGGCCTCCTATGCGTTCACAGAACTCCACAATCCTGGAATGGCCGAGGCTGGCAGAGCCCTCTGGGTCCCTCTGGTCCCTCCCGCCTCAGCAGGGTGACCCAGAGCAGCACCTGGGCCCACATTCAGGTGGGGTTGGAGATCCCCAAGGAAAACACCCCACAGCCCTGGGTCTCTGTGCCAGGACTCAGCCAGGTGCCGGCAAAGCAGGGGCACCCCTGAGATGAGCTCGGCTTCAGCACTGCATTCACTCTTCAGGTATTTATACAAATTGATTTCAGGACACTCTTCCATGCCACAGAGATCCTGTGAGATACTCCATGCCTCCTACGCCACATTCCTCAGACAGCTGCAGTCTGAGTTACAGAACAGCTTACAAACTCTGCTGCAACTGGCACCAATTGCACCATGCTCCAAACTGACAGTGAGTGCCAACAGTCCTTACTGCAGTGTCTCAAAACGCAGGCCTGGAGTGCAGGAGAGCAGAGGTGGCTCTTGAACGGGCCACGAGATGCCCAAGGCTGCCCAGCAGCCGCTGCCCATGACTACACACAGACTTCTCAAGAAGTGAGAAAGGATAAAGCCATTTCATTTTGTCTTTTTGCTTCTATAACAGCAGAGGCCCTCCTGGCACAGTTCTGTTTTGGTTCAGCGACTGCTGCATTATTTATGAGATACTGCACATCCAGAGATTAAACATTTGCTGATTTGTCAAAAACACGAGGTCCTACCCATCTCCTTGACACATTAGTCCATCCAACAGAAAACACTGTCACACATTTAATTGATGGGTACACCTCCCTGTGACCCAGCTTGCTTTGGGTCTTGGTTTGCTTAAGTGTCATGCAACAAGGACGTAGCACCAGAATAAAGCAATCCTCATACTAGATAGAAACATTACAACCTACCAATTAATTTCTAACTGAATACAGTATCATTAGTGACTAATAAAATGCCTCTGACTCTAACTAAATCCTTTGGCTATTAAAAAACTTCAGAGATTATTTTAAGATATTTTAAAATATTAACGTCATAAAGAGAGAATTCCTGTTACCTGCATAAAGAGCTGGCCTTAAATCAAAGCTCACAACAAAAGTATAGATCAGATTTAAATTATTTGAATTGGATATACGTATATTACAAAAAAGGAAAATATAAACAGCCACGTGAGTTGTCAGTTACAAAATCTGGCAAATTTCCAATATCTAAAGGGGGGTTGTAAGAAAGAAAGACTCTTAAGCAGGGTCTGTTACGATAGGACAAGGAGAAATGGTTCTGAACTAAAAGAGGAAGAAGTGTGTTACAATGGGGGCAGTGAGGCACTGCATGGGTTGAGACTTGGGGGTGGTCCCTGCAGGGCAGGGGATGGGCTCTGAGCGCTGATGGAGCTGTGGGGGTCCCTGTGCATTGCAGCGGGTGGCACCAGGTGGCCCTTAGGGGGCCCTTTCAACTCCAACCATTCTGTGATGCTATGATTCTTTAACTATGAATCCTGAAGCTTTTGTATGCAATGTGTCAGTCACTAAAACAAGAATAAAGATGCTTTTTTTTAGATGCATAACTCTATTAAAATAGTACTGCTGGTTGTACTCAAGCTACAGATTTATTTCTGGGCACCCTGATTTGCTCACTGCTTGACTTTCTACAGTTTCAATCTCTCTCTTTTGTTTGTTTTTTTTTTAACTAATTTTGAAATTAGTACCCATACAGCTTCAGGAACTGTTACTATCAACCTTAAAGATAGGCTTTGACAGCATAATTCTAAACATGCAATTGAAAAGAAGTAAAGCCCTAATGGAATGGAAATTACAGCTATCACTATCTTCCGCATTGTTACAGACTTAATCAGGTTTCTGTAAATAACTGTTAACTTGTAACATGATGGAGTGCAGATATAACTCACTGCTGTAACGCAACGAAACAAAAGCAAAAAGAAAGTTTCTTGCCGGGCCAAAGCCCAGGCCCTTTTCTTGAGAAGATTATGTCAATTCAATTCATGTCTCACACAATCAGAGGCCGTATCAACAGTGAAGTTAAATTACAGTAATTCAAAGTCCACAACTTGGCTTTACTTTGTTAATCATATTTTTAACGCTACTTGTAAAAAGTAATATTAGTACCTACAATAGCACTGTAACCAGTACCTAAGTAACCTACAGAAACGCTTTACAAGTCATGAAATGCCCCAAATGATTGAAGTTTTAAGCTCAAGGAAGAAAGCTCCTTGTTTGTTCCATTTTAAGGAGAGTTTAGATGTGTTACTGCACTAACTGCATACAGTCTGTAAGCATGCATTTTTACTACAACGCAATCCCAGAAAGGCTGTTATGTACTGCAACTCTCTCAGCTTCTGCCTTACCTATGGTGGCTGGTGCAGAACAATGAATCCCCAACCCTAACCCCAATCTGCACAGCCTTAAGTCTTCTTTAAAAATGTCTTTCTAGAGAAGCCTGAAGAATAATATGCACTGAAGGTGACCTTACCTGAGCAGGAGATGATATACATTCCAGAGCCTAGGGTCCCTCTGACTGCCCTGCAGCAGTCCCTGACCAAGCAGATCTCTGTTTCTGCTTCATGCAATCAGGGGAACCTCATTTCTGCGAGTAAGGCTCAGACCCTTAAACACCGCCAGCCACTGTGGACTGAAATCCTAGTGCTGTGCCAGGAAACAAATAGTCTGGGAGATGGTACGTACCCTGCCTCCTCAAACACCGAGCAGCCACAGAAGCTGCACTTCACAAACCCAGACAGAGTGACAAGCGAATGCAGAGCTCATGGGTGCGTCCAGATCACAGAGCTCTTAGTTCATTAGGCCAACTTGCTAGCTCTTGAATTCATAACTACCAGAATCACAGAATGGGCTGGATTGAAAAGGAGCACAATGCTCATCCAGTTCCAACCCCCTGCTATATGCAGGGTTGCCAACCAGCACCCCAGGCTGCCCAGAGCCACATCCAGCCTGGCCTTGAATGCCTCCAGGGATGGGGCATCCAAAATCATCATCATTTGATAATAACAGAAGTTTCTAAACGTTCAGGAAGATCAGCACAGCCCACTGACCTCAGATGGTCACAGAGACAGTCTGTGCAGTTGTCTGGCTTGATTACTGGATGTCTTTCTACCCCTACTAGTACAGATAGGAGCTGAGAACAGAAGGAAAGGGCTTTGTCAGACCTGAAGTCAGCCAATCACTTCAGGGGAAATGCAACAGAGTTACGACAGGTGGTTTTACATGTAAAATTTATTCACATTTTGCTTTAGAGAGAAGTTTTAGTATCCTGCATAGGCATGAATACAAGCACACAGATCCTAATAAGTGTAACAGCAGGAGTAAAAGTGAAAAGTCAGGACAGTCACGAACGATGACAGTTTTTACGTGAGATAAATACTTAGAAATGTACAATAATTTAAAACTGATCACTGATTTTTCTTCCATCTCCTTCCACATTGTAACTAAACAGTCGTAATATTCCAGAATTAAATACTTTGATCTGCACAGAAAAATCCCATAGGCAGGCTAGGGTAAACAATTAGAGCACAAGGCGTTACAAAGCAATTGAGAGAAACCAAGTGAAAGGAACAGAAAGAGCACTGGACTCCAACAAGCATCACCTAAAGGACAGCCCTTGCCTGGCAGAGCTGCACTGCAGGGTCTGGCTGTTGGAGCCCCCAGCGCTGG